GATTGCCAGTCGCACTGAAGTTCAACTGGGAGATTTCAAAAACTAGATGGTTGACGTCACCAACTATAAGATTTTCATTTGTTAGTTTGAACAAAAGAACAGGTTGTCATGGCACACTGCATATTGATGTGTTGCTGATAAATTGATTATCTACAGCCAGTTCGATATGATAAACCTGTCATTGTTATCAACATCTCAGTATTAGCCTGCCTGACAAGGACAGCTGTCTAGTCGTTCGGATGAGACGAAAAACTGAGGTCCCGTGTATATATTGGAATGCACGTAAAAGATCCCCTGGCAGTTGGAATTCGATATAAGAGTAGGCGATAGTGCCGCTGCCCGGGCAAAATTTCCCTCAAAGCACACTGTATGGCGTATGCCCGTCTTCATTAGGCCAGTATAGGAGCAGAACAGTAGGACGTTAAACCCCATTTCGTTTCATTTTATTTCCTATTTCGTTCAATTCACACTTGACACATATAAACAAATTCTATGACACACTAAAACAAATTTTAACATTTAAGAGAGCCAGACATTGCATTTGTTTATACAGTAGAATCTGTATTAAGCAGCCACTGACTGATTAACGGGAGTGACCTCTTAATAAAATCTCAGTGTTTGTAGCACTGACATCAAATACATTTTACGCTTTGATGCATTGGAAGCAAACATCAATACTTGCATCGATAAGTTTGGCCGTCATGAATCTTGCTTAGAACGAAAATTATCTAACTCGAATCCCTGATATGACTTCTGTAAATGTGTCATTTTGTACCGTTATTCATAATACTATCAACCATTATGATGTATTCAATAATATTTATCTATTTTTGTGAAGAAACTCCATGAATTAATTTTATTTTATCAAAAAAGCACATGCCCAAAATGTGAATTGAATGAAATGGTATTGATAACGCCTAAAATTCTGGAGTACAATTATGCCAACCTTTTTTGTTGTCACTTAAATATACATGATAGTTTTAGGCCCAGAAATGTAAGGAACCATGTAAATCTACGCCTGTATATTTTTCAGTAAATATTGTTGTCCATTATTTATATCTATATTAGATCAGCAAAAAATTCTTTGTTCTTAAGGTTCATTCTCACCCAGCTCAAAACTTAAATAATCATGTTAGCGTGACTAAGGTGTTAATTGGAATTTCTAAAGAAGGATTAGCTGTAGTCTGTTTCACATTGGGCACTGTTTATTTCATTAGGTTAAACCTAATAGTAAAACAAAATCATTTGATAATGTTTTATTCAACATTTATTATAGTAAAACATGTTTATTTTAACACTTTTAATGTAAATGGAAAAACTTAATATAAAAAATAAATAACTAAATAGCAGTATGAAATGAGCATCAACATTAAAAATATATATTTCATATGGGCAATTAAACATTTCATATACGACCATCATTAGATGTTGGTAAGAACCGCACCTGAACATTTACATTTGCCATTTTGACATATCAACTGAAGATGTCACTCCCTTAAATAGGTTTTAATTGAACCAAATTGATTCATTACTTTGTAAAAAATCACAGTTCACATGACACTTATTAAACACAGTTCACATGACACTTATTAAACGGTTAATCCATATCTAATTAGGTGAACACATTTCAGCTACAGACCATAAACCCCCAGCCCTAAACCCTTAATCCCCTTAATCAATATTTTGAGCTGGATGAGAACACCCCGTTCTTAATTCATCTTTCTTAATTCATGGTCCTTAAATCACGGCCCTTAATTAATGGTCCTTAATTCATGGTTCTTAATTTATGGTCCTTAATTCACGAGCCTTAATTCATGGTCATTAAGTTCATTGTCCTTAATTCAGCTACATATTTTTTTTTGTAAAACAACACCTTTTATGAGAAAAGTTTCTCGGCCGTTTGCTTTATCCTTTATCGTCAGATGTGGGACAGGATGGGCACTCAAAGCACGAGATAATGATATAGACATTATGTGATATCACAATTAATGTTTTGCATCCATGAAATTGAATCACAATGTCATCGTATTAATTCATAATAAAAATTGACGTTGAACGAGGTGTTGAATTTCTCTGTTCAAAAAAAGCTCAATGTATATGTATATACGCCAAAATGACAATATACACCATCTGGGAGGGGGGGGGGGAGATACATTGTCTCAGGAACCTGGCAAACCCCCTCCTGCACAAATTCCTGGATCCGCCCCTGTTTATATATCGAAAACGTGTCTGTATATCAGACATTTTTGTCATATCAGATTTGTAAATTGTATCTTTGTGAAATTTAATTGTATTTTAATATAAAGATAACAAATATTGTAGAAAATCAAAAAATTAAATACACAATTCGTCAGAAACATAAAACTAAAAACGAATCCTGAACAATTTCTAACTACAAATCCCCAAATACGAATCTTGCAAAACCAAATTAATGATATTATCTGGTGAATGGACTTGTAGACTTTCATGTGAACATTAATTTACCGATTTTAAGGGTTATTTCAAACATTATCTTATTAATATATTATATTGTTTTCAATGTTTCAGGGAATTTTATGACTATAACTAGTAATGTAAGAGAAGTTAGTATAGGAGATTCATACAGTGTCACGTGTAAAACTCAATACATTCCTATTGATTTCTATAGAAATAATACAAGGATAGCTAAAACAAGACGTGAGGCTGTTGATGCACCATGTAAGGTAGACAACATGAATGAATTCAACTGTACCATTATCAAATATGACAACAATACTTATGACCATCAGTTAATTATTCTATCTGCTAACCATACTGGTACAACTCACTGGCAGTGTAAACATGAAGATGGAAGAGTTTCTTCAAAGACTGTCTCCATAACAATAACATCTAAAGGTATGTATACTATTTAACGTGGGTCATAAATAATGTAGCTCAAAGGTGTGGGTCTTGAAAGCACTGTAGATACAAAACATTTAACTAAAACTTGGTATTTATTGATGAGTTTAGTGGCCAGCATGTTCTTGAAGCAATGGTTAAGAACATTATTAGCTCATTAAAATTGAACCATATGTTGGTCTCGAAATGACCTAGTTTGTGTCGAGTGGACGTTAAACCCCATTTGTCTCTTTGTTTAATATCTCTTTTATATCGAATGTATACTTATTAATTTCTATAAATATACCTGTCCAGTCAGGTCCGTTTAAAAGGACACTCGCATGTCGTCGATCGATAACAATTTCTATTAATATTCCTGTCCAGACATAAGTCCCCCTTGGCATTCCCATGCCATAACCGTTTAAAGATACACACACTCACTTTTTTGATTGTAGTGATCGGTAACATTTTGACTTGTTTTAATTGCGCCATTTTTTATTGATTCAAGTTCTGGCCAATCTGATTAAAATATAAATCTATATTTCGTTTCGTTTTTTATACTTTCAATGGCCTACACTACATGAAGATCTGACCAGTTATAGTGGGGGGTCGCGTCAGAGGTCATACGAGCATTGATTAATCAATCAGCGTTGACGTTTCTAGTGGTTTACCCACACTTCCGTGCACAGTACGCCAAGAACTCGCCGTAACAGACCGTTTCATTGGCTAATCCGTCACATCATTCAGAACGCCTGTTATATAACAACTCTTTCAGATCCTAGTGGGGGGGTTGGATGGCTGAATGGTTAGCGTGCGAGCGCTGTATCATAAAGTCTGTCATTGAGTCAACTGGCGTGGTTTCGAATCCCCGGTTGTACGTGGCAAGGAGTAGGGTCGCCTGTCCAACCTCGTGGGTTTTCTCCGGGTCCTCCGGTTTCCTCCCACTGCTAAAGACCCCTACGCGCAAGCGAATTATTGAAATAAAATTAAAAACCATATGTTAGTCCCGAAATGACCTAGTTTGTGTCGAGTGGACGTTAAACCCCATCTCTCTCTCTCTCTCTCTCTCAGATCCTAGTGTAGTAAAGACAAGTAAAACGATATTTTGAACTATACTTTAATTAGATTGAAATAGACGATAGAACATAGAGTTTAAGAGTAATCTTTACAAAAAAAGCGTAAATTATCGCCTCTTAGGTCCCAGTACGTTCATGCTGCAATACGCAGAGAGAATGTAATATTTAATTTAGCTATTTGATATTGTGACAGTTCGAGTGACATCGTACTATTAAAAGAACCGTAATATAGGGTTGTGGACCCGCTAGTGCTAACATGGCAGACTATTAAAGTACTTTCCGGTCGTATTGAAGTAGTATTAAAATGTACATGTATATGTTACCCGCACACTGTTAGTCTAATAAATTAATAGACACTGAAACAACAGGAACTATGTAATATTAATAATTACTTACAAAACACTTCTAAAAACACTTTCTACTACCAGGCATAAAGATTAAATAAAACACTGTTTTCAAACGCTGTCAAAACACTTCCTTGAGCCAGGATAATAATATCCAGTTTTCAAGACGAAAAGGCTAAATATACGAAGACCAAACGCTGTTAATTACACTTTCATAAAAATACTTTCTTGAGCCAGGATAATACTATCCAGTCTATAGAAGACAAAAGGCTAATGCATGGAGGCAATGAGACTCAACTTATTCATCCACCTAGTAATAAAAGGTGGGGTGAAATCCTAAACTAACAGACACAAAATAAATAAAAGAACCCATGCCTCAACTAAACCAACATGACACATGGCTTACAACATGCATAAATAATAATTTGAAAGGATAAAATATACTAAATAAGACTTAAATTAAACATGCCTACTAATTAATAAATTCTTGATAAAAAAATCTAAAATCCAGAACTTTTGACACAAAGTAGGCACCACAAAACTACGGATAGGCACTGATAGCTAGATAATTTATCTACCAGATACATATAAGTTCCCATCAAAAATGTTTACTTACGAATTCTGCCCGCTTAATATTATAACAAACTAAGTGAAAATACATATAAATACATAGTGTTGATGGGTCATTGGTAATAGTATTTAAACATATTTATTATTGTCTATATACAACTACAGATGGAAAAGCTGTGTCTACTACTGTCGGTGGAAAATCTGCGTCTACTACTGTTGATGGAAAAGCTGCGTCTACTACTATCGATAGAGAATCTAGGCCTACAGTGTATACTACTGTTACATTGTCATTTACAGAATCTGCAACGGCTCCTCAAATACCTTCACCACCAGATATACCATTAATAGCTTCTCCAGGGGCTACAGCCTTCGTCGTTCTTGTAGCAATAATTGGCATCGTAATATTCATCAATTATCGAAAACGACATAAAGAATCGCCAGGTACTTCAAGTTTATCCTTATTTTACTAGATTGGCCTACACTATAGCATAGGCGTAGGAGCTCAAAGTAATTCAGGGGGGCATAAGAGAAAATTGCCCGAAATCAATACCGTTTTTTCTGGCATAACTATCATAAGAGAGCTTCGCGAATAGAAAAAAAAGGTCGTCGAATTTTTCATTGCCCGAAAATAAATTTTTGGGGGCCAAATGCCCCCCCTGCCCCCCCCCCCCCAGCTCCTACGCCTATGCTCTATAGAAATATAGTGATTTGATCAGGTTGTGTCCCTTTTTATAGACTCGAACAAGAGGGCGAGAACCAGATGTTTCAGTCGTTACGTATTATTATCAATATGCCAAGATAAGGATTATACTTTTTGTTCAGTAGAGGGTTTAGCGTCCAGAATTGGTCCAGATTGATCTATTACTGGTCTCTTTCCACTGGAGTGAATCAGTAGGTCACGTCCATAAGTTAGAGTTTGGGATGTCAACCGCTATTGAAATTCCGAAGATCTTATTTTTACTCCCCAGGTAGTGGCGGCGCCAGCCGTCGGTGATTGGAGGGGCAAAGCTGGGGCAAAGTCCAAGGTTAGGGGGGCAAAGGCACGAGCTTCAACTAGAGGTAGGGGGCCTCCCCCAGAAAATTTTGAAAAACAGGTTGCCGGAAATGCAGCCTGGCAGTATTTCAGGCACTGATCGATGACGTAAAGTGTCAAATGAACGGACTTGCGAATCACGACGAAGCCCACTCACGAGCGTCAAAGTAGGGAGTCCTCCTCCAGAAAATTTTGAAAAATAGACTGCCGGAAATGCTGTCTTACAGTATTCTGTCAGGCACCGATCGTCGAGATAAATAGATCTGCCCAGATACCGTTCGTCGCCTGATCACTAGTTTATCCGACTAGAGAACAAAATGTCAAACGAACGGACTTGCGAACCTCAACGAATTCCCCTTGTGAGCGCCAAAGTAGCGAGTCCATTCGGGACCTCGCCAAGAAAATTTTGAAAAGTAGACTGTCGGAAATGCTCTACAACATGCAAGTTTATGACCGAGTGGGGAAGTGGGATTTATTCACCGTAGAAGGTATTGATTACCGAAACGTATCACAAATACTTTTTTTATTTTCTAAAATTATTGGGGGGGGGGGGCAAACAGAGGATTGCCCCCCTCCCCCCCCCCATGGCGCCGCCACTGTCCCCAGGTCCACCTTATGAGAAAGGGTCACACGTCGATCAAAAGATTAAATAGTATTTTCATAGACTTGGTGTCAGTGTGATATTTAGATATATCTGGGGTCACTCGCACACATTAAACCTTACTCAGAATACACCAAATCGAATCTATTTTTCAAAATAAATTTTTTTCTGAGATGACTGGACCCAACGCGTTTTCCTTAATTCAGTCCCCTCAACCCAAGGTAAGCGCATGTGGGCCTCGCAAGGTAAGCGCATGTGAGACTCGCAAGGTAAGCGCATGTGGGCCTCGCAAGGTAAGCGCATGTGGGATTCGCAAGGAAAATGAGCTACACCCGTGTACACATTGCTGGCATTTGGAATTTAAAAACCTATTGACGGACAAAAACCCACTCTAACATTTCATAAAAATCAAAACTACCATGTTGGTCTCAAAATAATCGAAGCTTTGTATCGGTGGGACTTAATTCTCAGTTCCATTTATACGTTGGGCTGTATGGGATGTTTAATTTTATTCCACAGTAAAGTCACCAGAACATACCGGGATGATTATAGATGAGAATTTGATGTATCAGAGTATGGATGATTACCGACAAGAAGGGACTGCTGCCTCTAATCAAGGGTCTGCCTCTAATCAAGGGTCTGCCTCTAATAACCGTAGCAACTATGATACGGTGGATGACAATATATTACAGCAAAAGGTAACTGGGAAAAAACAAGAGGCTGGCTTTTCAGATTTTGATCCAAGTAAGGTTTACGGAGTTGTCAATAAAAGAGAAAAACCGAAAGGTAATTAATTAAAAATTTGACTTTTTTTTTCGAGTTTTCCTGGTATATTGGTTAAGTTCATAGTTCGTTGGGGTTTATTTTCATGTTGAGGCTTGTTGGGTGGCCAAGTTGAATATTTTGCCCAATAGAGAGAGAGAGAGAGACGGGGGGGGGGGGGGGGGGCTCCGGCTCCTTAGGTTTTCACCCACTGCTAAAGACCCCTACGCGCAAGCGAATTAGTGAAATAAAATTGAATCATATGTTAGTCCCGAAACGACCTAATTTGTTGCGAGTGGACGTTAAACCTCATCTCCCTCTCTGGGATGTTTAAGGGACTTAATTCCCAGTTTCATTCATACGTTGGGCTGTATGGGATGTTTAAGGGACTTAATTCCCAGTTTCATTCATACGTTGGGCTGTATGGGATGTTTAATTTTATTCCACAGTAAGGTCACCTGAACATACCGGGATGATTATAGATGAGAATTTGATGTATCAGAGTATGGATGATTACCGACAAGAAGGGACTGCTGCCTCTAATCAAGGGTCTGCCTCTAATCAAGGGTCTGCCTCTAATAACCGTAGCAACTATGATACGGTGGATGACAATATATTACAACAAAAGGTAACAGAGAAAAAACAAGAGGCTGGGGTTTCAGATTTTGATCCAAGTAAGGTTTACGGAGTTGTCAATAAAAGAGAAAAACCGAAAGGTAATTAATTAAAATTTGACTTTTTTTTTCGAGTTTTCCTGGTATATTGGTTAAGTTCATAGTTCGTTGGGGGCTTATTTTCATGGCATCCATCTTGAGGTTTTGTTCATAAACACAATACACTATTTCTATAGTTAGGTTTGTTGGGTTGCCATGTTGAATATTTGCTCAATAGCGAGAGAGAGAGAGAGAGAGAGAGAGAGATGAGGTTTAAACGTCCACTCGACATAAATTAGGTCGTTTCGGGACTAACATATGATTCAATTTTATTTCACTAATTCGCTTACGAGTAGAGGTCTTTAGCAGTGGGTGAAAACCTAAGGACCCAGAGAACCCCTCCTCTCTCTCTCTCTCTCTCTCTCTCTCTCTCTCTCTCACACACACACACGTTCCTGATTGGTGGATAAAATTAACATTTAGATGAGACAGTATGACAGAAACCAACTTTATATTCTTATACATTTGTAATTACATTTTGTCAAGTAGCCATGTAAATGTTGATTAAGTTTAATTAACGAGGATGTATATATCAAATGTAACCTTGAACAATTAAAGTTTCTATTTAGCAGACGTACCGGATCGAAATTCTGGAAATTCACAGCAACAGCCAAAGGATGTAAGTTGAATTATCTTTTTTGTTTGTTTGTTTTGTTGACTTTGTCTCAAACAGATCCGCGGCAAATTTTCGCCCGTGCACAGTAAAACGTTTAATGAAGTTAAAAATACAGATGTGACCTAATTCTGTGATGTTGGCGTACCATAACTGTATTATTAGCTCGCGTGATGATTTTATTGAAATACACGTGCGGGATAGTGTCTGTATTTTAAGTTGTTTAATGGTCTCGAGCAGACATTGCTATTTTTTAAACAACACTCGGACTAACGTCCTCGTGCAGTACCAATATATTACTTAACGCCTCGCTCAACAATACATAATTTGTGGATGTAGAATAATGCATTAACTCTTTCCCTTGTGAACAAATAGAACAGTAGATGCCATATATGTAATAGTCATTTTGGAAACGTATATATAATATGACGTATATATAATATGACGTATTGATACACTTTGAAACCATTATATTGTCTTACCTGTTACATAACTACGTAAGCCAGGCGATCATTTATTGGCACCATGGTTGCGCGATTGAATAAAATTTGACCGATATTGTTTTATTGTATTTGATACCACGGTTCCGAGGAATGCTCAATATTACAAGTTATGGTAATGATGCATGATTTGTATTTTAAAAAAAAAAAAAATATCCCATAGCTAAATCCATGCTAATATGTAATGAGTTTAAATGTTCAACATGGCAAATAAAGATGGCAGCGTCTTGTTACGTACGGAGCCGCATAGATCGATGAAATTTTCAATTCGTCCCAACTGTGTAAAACTGAACAGTATAAATGATCCATTTTTGAATTGATATTTTAGAGATCTAACTTTCATAGTAGTTCGCAAGAGATTATATAGTTATAAAATCACGTATAGAGAGTCTGTAATACGAAGGAACTTGTTTGATTTCATTCGGGTCTAATAAAAGAACGGGGGGAATAAACCTAGGCCAATGAACATAAATGTAGTCTATTATGTCGGATTTAAAGCAAATGAACGGATTTGATTGCAAATTGATCGATAAACTAAAGCAAATGAACTGATTTGATTGCAAATTGATCGATAAACTATGCCATTTCTCATTTTAGGAAGGGTGGAAGGCCGAATGGTTAGCGTCTGCGCGTTGTATCATAAAGCCTGTCATTGAGTCAACTGGCATGGTTTTGATTGCCCGGTTGTACATGACAAGAAATAGGGTCGCCTGTCCAACTTCGTGGGTTTTTTCCGGGTCCTCCGGTTTCCTTCCGCTACTAAAGACCCCTACCCGCAAGTGAATTATTGAAATAAAATTAACCATATGTTAGTCCCGGAATGACCTAGTTTAAACCCCATTTCTCTCTCTCTCTCGTATATTTTAGGATGGCGATCAGGTGGACAGTGATGCTGAACATTAATACTTGCTGCTGGTGTGTGAAGAGATGCTGGTAGCTGAGCTAAACATTTTATGGAAAGAGAAGACCTTGTTTATCTTGTAGTTCTAAATACAATGTCAACTGCTTATTGATATTTCAATATTGTTAGTTTCGTGATAATTGTTTGATTTTAATGTTCATTTAGTGGTGATATGAAGACATGCCAACAGTCATTGTAAATCTGTCTGAGTCTTGGGCCTGTGGATATATTATTACGGCCATCTTTACTTAATGCGTATGTATGTTGTCATGCCTGTATGGCCGTCTTTACGTCTTACAATCTGTTTAAAACACAGATCCTATTTCGTTTCGTTTTTTATTAGTTCAAAATTTGTTATATAACCCGCGTTCTGGTTGATGTGAGAGATTAGCCAATGAAACGGCCTGTTACGGCGAGTTCTTAGCATGCGGTGCACGGAACTTTGGGTATCCCACTAGATACACCAACGCTGATTGGTTAATCAATAATGTTTGACGTCATAGGGTCAAAAGCCGCTCGTATGACCCCTGACCCGACCTTCCACTACAACCACTCAGATTTTCATGTAGTAGAGGCCATCGAAGGTATAAAAAAACGAAACGAAATATAAATGTGTATTTTAATCAGAATGTACATCTTGTATATAGGCTGTCATGCCATTCACTTGTAAATTATTATAGCTTTTATTGACATCGTACATGTCAGTTGTTTTTGTTGACATCGTACATGTCACTTTTCTTCATGCCGGTGTTATTAAATGAAATGAAATGAAATAAAATGGTGTTTAACGTCCTACCGTTCTGCTCCTATGCTAGGCTAATGAAGATGGGCATACGCCATACAGTGTGCTATGAGGGACATTTTGCCCGGGCAGCGGCACTATCGTCTACTCTTACATCGAATTCCAACTACCAAGGGATCTTTTACGTGCATTCCTATGTATACATGGGGCCTCGGTTTTTCGTCTCATCCGAAGGACTAGACAGCTGTCCTTGTCAGGCCCTCCGTCCTGCATCACTGACAAGGGGGAACAATGCCGGAAAATCTGGATGAACTTTCTCGGCCAATGCAGGGATCGAACACCCGACCTCCAGGCTAGCGAGCCAGTCGGTGTTATTAAGTGAAAGACATCGAACAATGTTGGAAAATATGTAGAAATGTCGTCTGAAAGATTTGTAGAAATGTATTAGGAGGGACTTATGGAAGATTAGTTGTTGCAAACTAAATAAGTTGCTTCATTAAATAAAGTTAGTATTATTATTATTATTGTTATTATTATTATTGTTATTCTTCTTTTTATTATTATTATTATTGTTATTATTATTATTATTATTGTTATTCTTCTTTTTATTATTATTATTTTTATTATTATTATTATTGTTATTATTATTATAACCGATATTAAAGAATATGTAGATGTTTTGTTTTTTTTAAAAATATGTAGAAATGTCGTTTGAAATTTATGTAGAAATGTCGTTTGAAATTTATGTAGAAATGTCTTTTGAAAATTATGTAATAGTATCTTTTGAAATCAGGAAAGGTGTGGTAAACGTGAGAAGTAAATTTAAAAATATGTAACAATTTGAAAATTATGTAATAATATTGTGAAAAATATCTTTAAAGTTTCAGTTAAATAGCTATCCAATGGCACTGTGTCAATCAGCATTTTTGGTAGTAAGTCTAGTTATTTTCATATTTTTACTGCAAAGATAATGATGCATACGGTGGCCTTTTAGTGCCATGCGTTGATTTGTACCTTTTTCTTGTAATTTACCTCGTATAAAAACTTGCACCGCGGAGAAAACTTTACACCGCAGAGAAAAGATTTACGCCGCGAAGAAAAGGTTTACACCGCGGAGAAAACTTTATACCTCAGAGAATAGGTTTACACCGCTGAGAAAAGGTATACACCGCGGCGAAAACGTTATACCTCAGAGAAACGATTTACACCGCCTAGAAAAGGTTTACACCGCGGAGAAAACTTTATACCTCAGAGAATAGGTTTACACCGCGGAGAAAAGGTTTACATCGCGGAGAAAACTTTATACCGCGGAGAATAGGTTTACATCGCGGGGAAATGGTTTACGCCGCGGAGAAAAGGTTTACATCGCAGAGAAAACTTTATACCGCAGAGAAAACTTTATACCGCAGAGAAAAGGTTTACGCCGCGGAGAAAAGGTCTACACCGTGGAGAAAAGGTTTTTCATGGTTTTTTTTCATTTATCATAGTTTTCACAGCGAGTTATATGAGGTAAATTACAAGAAAAGGGTATAAATCAACGTATGGCACTTAAAGGACAATATTGGTGTCAGAGAGAGAGAGAGAGAGAGAGAGAGAGAGAGAGAGAAATGGGGTTTAACGTCCACTCGACACAAACAAGGTCATTTCGGGACTAACAAATGGTTTAATTTTATTTCAATAATTCGCTTGCGCGTAGGGGTCTTTAGCAGTGGGAGGAAACCGGAGGACCCGGAGAAAACCCACGAGGTTGGACAGGCGACCCTACTCCTTGCCACGTACAACCGGGGATTCGAAATCACGCCAGTCGACTCAATGACAGACTTTATGATACAGCGCGCGCACGTTAACCATTCAGCCATCCAACCCCCCTATTGGTGTCAGTCATTATCACATATGTGATAGAACTGGTTAAACACGTTCCAAATATTATTTTATCACAAAGATAATTGCTACGATAGATGCGTAATAAATGTTTCAACAATCGGAAGTGACAAACGCAAAAGGAAAACACGAGTTATCCCTCTATATAACTTACTGAAGTGACGGGTGATAACAGATACATAGGCGAATTTCTGCTCACTAATAATTCCTGCGAAAACCAATATTGTCCTTTAAAAGGCCACCGTAGATGCCTGTTTATTTTTTTAGGACTACGTTAAACTATTTTAAGTGCTTGGTAGCATTACCCTTTGACCAGACGTTGTAAACGGACAGATAAAATCGATTTTAAAAAAAAGGGGTGGCAAATAACAAAAACGGGTGGCGAATATCCTTTTCCTAATATTTTATGTATAAATTGGCAATATTGTCGGTGCCAAAGCTCAAAAAGTATCAAACACATAATTGATTAATGGTTACATTAATTAAGCATTAATTATTAATTGTTACATTAATTAAGCATACAATTTTGTATATATGAAATTATGTATAGACTTTAATTTAAACTTATATGTATCGATTATCGATTTCGATCATCGCATTTATAAATAAAGATCTGGTAATCTAAATGTGGGTCATTCGAGGCAATTCATCTCACTATAGGTTTGTGAAATTACGATTTAAACTCGTTTAAAGGGATTAATTAGTGTCCATGGTTATCACTACTCACTGGATAGCTGACGATAAGTGACTATTTTAATTAGATCGGAATATGGCCCTTTAAAGTCCACTCGACACAAAATAGGCCATTCCGGGACTAACATATGGTTCAAATTTATTTCAATAATTCTCTTGCGCGTAGGAGTCTTTATCGATGGGAGGAAACTGATTAAGATTCGGATATAGCCAATTTGACAATGAATAAGACGTCATTTTAAAGTACCTAATTTTCTTCCCGTTTAGAAGTTATAGTTATTAATATCTGTACTGTATTTCCCAGCTTGTATATATCGCATTCAATTGAATGAAAAGGTATCGTAGCTTGCCGATACACATTTTAAGAGTATCTAATTTTCTTCCCGTTTAGAAATTATCGTTATTAATATCTGTACTATATTTCCCAGCTTGTATATATCGCATTGAATTGAATAAAATCCTATTGTAGCTTGCCGTTAGTATATATATATACACATTTAAAATAATTGTCTGCGCCAATAGTTTGTTATTGGATAGAGTTGTGGTGTGTAAAAGTCAATATCTCGTTCTAAAGGATGAGCAATCAAACTGATTATCTATACTTAGTCTAAGCAGAAAATGTTCACGATTAAACTCAGTCAAGGTTTTGAAGTATACCGCGTAGTGAAACTATACATTAAGACTCTTCGTCGGTTACAATCAAAGATATCTTGTCCCAAAGCATCGACCAATGAAATTGCTTAGTTCTGCTTAGCTTTAGCGGGAAATATTTATCATTAAACTCAGTCAAGACATTCACCTAATGAACATCTGAAATGAAATGGGGTTTAACATCCTACTGTTCTGCTCCTATGCTGGGCTAATGAATAAGACGGGCATACGCCATACAGTGTGCTATGAGGGAAATTTTGTCCGGGCAACGGCACTATCGCCTACTCTTATATCGAATTCCAACTGCCAAGGCATCTTTTACATGCATTCCAATGTATACACGGGACCTCGGTTTTTCGTCTCATCCGAAGGACTAGACAGCTGTCCTTGTCAGGCCCTCCGTCCTGCATAACTGACAAGAGGGAACCACGCCGGAAAATCTGGATGAACTTTCTCGGCCAATCATGCAGGGATCGAACACCCGACCTCCAGGCTAGCGAGCCAGCGTCTTACCCACTTAGCCACTTAATCCCCTAAATGAACATCTATACCTCAATTAAAAGCAGAGTTATTATGTTCCAAAGTCTTGAACAATCAAATTTCTTATCGCTACTTAGCCTAAGCAGAAAATTCTCATCAACGAACTTAGCCAAGGTATGGATATAATGAATCTATACTTAAGAGTTTCATCGTTCTCACCCAATTAGAACCAAAGTTATGTGTTCCAAAGTCTCAACCAATCAAATTGTTTATCTATGCTTAGCCTTTGTGGAAAATGTGCATGATTGAACTCTGTCAAGGTTTTCAACTAATAGGGTCCTATAACAATTTTGAACTTTCTACCTCAATTAGAAGGAGAGTTATTGTGTTCCAAAGTCTCAACAGATTGAAGGCTCTATTTTGCTTAAGCAGAAAATACTCAGCATCAAAATTTGTTATGGTATTGATGTAATGAAACTATACACCAAGTCTCATCACCATCACTCAATTAGAATTAAAGTCGTTAAGTTCCAAAGTCTCGACCAATCAAATTGCTTATCTCTCCTTACTCTAAGCATAAAATGCTCATCTTCGAACTCCACCAGTTATCTCTGCATAGCCTAAGTGGAAAATGCGCATGACGGAACTCCATCAAGGCATTCACCTGATAAACACCTACACCAAGTTTGAACATTCTAGGTCAATTAGAAAGAAAGTTATTGTGTCCCAAAAGATATGACCGACCGACAGACAGACGGACGGACAGATTCATTTTAACAGTCACCTGCTTTCTTAGAAAGGCCAGGGGATAATAATGTGAAGTAAATGATATAATAGATTGTTTCTAATAGTATTTTATTACAATATTACTATATTGACATAAACAATATTTCTAATAATTAGAAGCTAGATGGAATGACTAGATATTACATCACAAGTAGAAAGGTATAATAATATTCATAATAATAATAATAATAATAATAAACATCAATAATATCAACACAAAGAAAGATCTCTAATATAAAACACATATAGATTGCAGGTCAAAGTTCATCAAATTTTATCAATATTTGTGAAGTGATAGACATGAAAAGAAAAAAAGATACCATACTTACAATTTATGTTGTGCACTAGTATCTGCAAAGATTTCTTACAATAACTTGTGTAGGACATTAGTTTGTAATTATGATTTGAAAATAAATAAATCAGTCCACAATAATGTATTTGGTATTTTACTTTAACCATAATATCAAAACTTACTTAACTTTTCAAAATACCTTTAAATTGATTGAATAAATTGCTCCAATCAATTGCTGTAATTGATACTTGTTTTTTTGCACACGATGAAACTATTTCTAAGTCTGACTATCAGTAAATGATTGATACATTTTAATGAGATGATCATGTTAAAGTAGAAATAAGAGAAACATTTGACCCCAAGTTCACAAAGCATTCTCAGACTTAAATTAAGAATTTACCCATCTTTCGATCACTGTTTATGAGAAATATCTTTGATCCAGAAACACAAAACTTTGCTCATAATTTCTTATTGATGTATTTGATACATTAAAACAACAAAAGCTTTATAAAGGGCTATATTTTAGTTAAAATAAGGCAAACAATTTTGAGTAAATTCTTGACTTAAGTCTTAGAATGCTTTGTGAACTCGGGACTGGGTTATACAAGGTTCAGTAATTAGTCCTTCTCTATTATAACAATATACAAATGATACAAACATTTACAACACATTATGGAGTATTATGATACATATATTACTAGACAACAAGATTTGAGGTTTGATATTATATACATTATAAAAACCATATCTTAATGAAAAGAATGGTATGCACTATACAATAGCACTATGTTATATTTTGAAAACTATGTTGGGTGCTTTTACTATATGAATGAAATGATTCCAATTCAAATTTTATTGATTGTATATTCTAATAGTTACATGGAGAAGCAATCCTAAATTACAGAGTACCTGGAATAGTATTGTATTTTGGGTCATTATCAAATGATGCTTATAATTGCATCTCAATTAGCATATAATTACCTGTTACTGACTTCATTCAGTTGTTAATGGAATTGGTTTAAAAACAGTTTTGATTAAAGGCATTTTATATACAGAATATTGTCATCAAAATAAACATTAAAAAAAACATATATATTTATCTAATACTTAATGTGAATTTAAGACATAAAAAAAAACACATTTCATTAATCCAGGGGGGAAGGGGGGGGGGACTGAGAAAAAGGGAAAAAAAGACTTACGATCCATAAGTCTTATATTCGAAAATTTGAAATAAAATCTGAAATCAATGAATTAAAATCGTGCAAGTCTTTTTTAGGTAAAATAACTTGTTATACTGGTACAGTAAAGTATGAATAAGGCAAGAATAAGGAAAAAAAACACACGTAAGACACTAGGTTTACAATTAAAAATAAACACATGCAGAATTATTACTTACAATGAATTTATTGTATGGAAACTGGTTTTAGTTTCAAGCTTTTGTTTTAAAACAGAATCTATATTAGTTTTCTAGAGGTGTGGTACGATAAACAACTGAAAACTGTTGATACAGTCTACAAGCTATCCACCATATTTATAACCAAGTAAAATCAAACATGGGAGGTTGTATGTTTCATAGTAAGCTAGTTTGAAACTATTCGCAAAAACTGAAATGAAAAGAAATGTGGTTTAACGTCCTACTGTTCTGTTCCGACTGCGCTTAATGAAAACGAGCATACGCCGTACAGTGTGCTATGAGGGAAATTTTGATCGGGCAGCAGCAGTATGGCCTACTCTAAAATCGAATTCAAACTGCCAGGGGATCTTTTACGTGCACGAATAGACAGCTGTCCATGTTAGGCCCTCCGTTCTGCATCACTGATATGGGGAAACCAAGTCAGAAATTCCTGATGAACTTTCTTGGCCAATGTAGGGATCGAACACGTGACTTCCAGGCTAGCGTGCCAGCCTCTTGCCCACTTAGCCCCTCGCAAAAATTGAAAATCTAAAACCAGTTTCAAATGCACACAGAACAGAAAATACCTGACTAATAAAATGAGATTTTTTAAGAGTATTTTGAGATTTCAGATCTATATTGTATACAATAATATGGTGTACATTACAATAGACAAGAGATGTAAATCACAATCTACTGATAAATTAATGTGTACATATCCTCTGTCATATACCATCAAAAAACAAATTATTGTGTGGAGTAATTGGCCCACAAATGACCATAAACTTAACACACCCCTCAAAACAATAAACAGACAATAATTATATGGTGGGCAAACCTATATAATCACCTAGTAATTATTGTTTAGTCTACATGAAGCCACTAGCATTATTTCAGAAAGATTATGGACATATGTCTACTTCTTTCAGGTCATATTAATTCAATGATGCCTTAGATATATGAACTGTTAAAATAATTGACAAGTAGTATTAATTTCATTAAACCAGTTACTAAATATAGATCACTTGTAGTACAAAAGGTCATATCAATTATAAGGGGGAGGTGGCCTAGTGGGCTTGAGAGTCGCACTTCACACTCTAGCTGGCTTGCCATTGTGGTTTCGAACTCTGGTGTGAGCGTATGTGGCTTGTAGATAGGGGTGCCTTCTCAACCTCAAGGGTTTACTCAGGGTACTCCGGTTTCCTCCCACAGGAAAGACCCCTACATGTGCGCTAACATAATAAAAATGAAAAATAAGACAACTGCGATATGACCTTCGGTGGAAACGGATGTTAAACACTAAGAACAACAACAACTGTTTAATGTTTATAATGATGTCAAGCTAATGTTAATAATGTATAGTTTGTGTCTTTAAACGTATAGTTTGTGTGTTTTTAAATGAATACCAATTATCTATCTACTTTCTTCTTAGATCCAAATCAAATAAAAGTCTGTATTTGTTGTAATTTTAGAAAATTATATACCAGTATATTATTTGACCAAACCGGTATAAATTTTTATGAAATATATTAATAACTAGCAGGATACCCGGCTTCGCTCGGGGGTCATAACTCCGAAACCGGAAGTGGTAGACTAACGCCACCTGGCCTATGTTACTCCCCGGTCCGAGCTACCCCTATACCCCAAATTTCAGACTCGGGGCAGACCTAGTGTAGCTGCCAACCCCGAACAGACAGACAGACAGACAGACAAACGACAGTCACAAATATTAGTATAGATTAGTAACAAATTCCATTATATTAAGAATGATATTTTCTATCATCAGAAAGAGTTTCTCAAAATGGTATAAAAAGCTGAAGAAACATAAAAATATGTGTAGAAAAACGTAATTGAGATCATATTCATCATAATAAATAATACAAAATTTCACATAGTTAGAAAAGTAACAGTCCAAATGTGTAAACAGATTTTTCCAAATTTTGGTAACTTATAATGTAATATGTTAATAAAAATACCTTATGCCCCGTCAGACCAGGATGACTTCCTTACTGCGCTGCTGCGACCGTACAGCGACCAGAAAATGCACAAGGTCGCCGGCAAACGTAAACACAACGCAAAAAAATGTCCCAAAAAATTACAAACTTGAAAATAGTCACAGCTTTCCAGGTCAGATCACAGAACCTTGGCGTTTGTTTTGAGCGACCATGGAGATCACAGCACGATATCTGGCGTTTCCACCATGCCTTTAGCACGCTTATCGTGATCTTGACACGCTCTGAGATCATTTTTCGTCACCGTAGCAGCGCAGTAAGGATGCCACCCTGGTCAGATGAGGGTATTACTTAGATCCATGTTTGAAATTTTTTCAATAATTTGGCGAATTTAAGATAATAATGAATAAAATATTACTAATTTTCTCTAGGAAAATGATAATACCCCTTTCATATCCTTTATGTTTTAAAGTAGGGTAATTTACATTTGTACCATCTACATAATCTTTTAGGAAAAGAATACAATATTTACTGATATACAAGATGATGTGCCTATGGATTTCTGTGAGCATAAAGTGGACGGTAAATAATCCAACATGACTAAATGGTAGAATATTACTAGAAAATATTATAAAATGATGATTAAATATACTACCATACTACCTAATATTTACAACCGATGTTAATATATTTAATATATTATGTCTTGAACTCATTCTTTCTTATCCATATTGATAATAAACATGTCTTCTCAACATAACTACGTCATTTTCAGTTTTAAATCAGTCCTTCACGTTTAAGATGCACTTTCACTCCTGCTCCTCTCGACGCATCTCAACTTTCCTTTCACGGGAGTAATTAAAGACTCGAGTAAACTAGCTAAATATTGAGATTAATAAACTACTTTAGTTTTTGTTTATTTTTAACTTGCATATGTTCGAGCTATCAGTTTCCATGATGATAATTCTGATGCTACCATATTCACCAAATATTAAACAAGACTAAAGCATAAATACAATTTGGCTTTCCTTAATATAGAGAAAATGTAGAATTAATCGTGCAATTTAATTAAGAAGAGCTTTTTCTTATTTTTGAAATTGGCAGGAGATTTTTATGGCTCCCGTAAAATTTTATAAACGTGAAGAACTGTTTAAATGTGATAAATATTTTATTTGTTAAAAAGATGGACTGTAAATGTAGGAATAAAGAAATAAACGATCACTCCATTGTGAAATTATTGAGATAAAAAATTCCCAAACTTTTCAAGAAAAAATGATTAAATGTATCTGAAGTGTTGAAAGTATGGCACTAAAAATTAAAGAATCAGTAAATTAAAAATACAAAGTTAGCTTACAATGTATAATTAGTAAATACAAGTTTAAATTATTTCAACCCATACTAATTATGATAGATACCAATTCTATTATTAGCTTATTTTACACAATATCTACATCTTTTTTTTTTTGCTCTATTCAGTATCTTTGAAAAATATTTTGGCAAGATGAGATTTTCCCCCTGATAACTTTTAAACACCTGAAAATATCCGATTTAAACAAGTCTTGTATAAGTTAAATATTATTACAAAAACATTAAACACTGTCAATTTCTGTGAGATCTAGAGCTTTCACCTCTCAGATTTGTCTTTTTGTTTCCATAAATGGTGTTATCTCTCTTGAGTAGGGTGATGAAACTTTTTTTTTTTAAAAGCCAATAGAAAGGATCAGGTGCCGAGGGTGCTTTCTAAAAAAACATATAGTTCATTTATGACCTTTCACCTTTCAGAATTGTCTTTTTATCTCCATAAATGGAGTTATCTCTCTTGATTCGGGTGATGAACGTTTTTAAAGCCAATAAAAAGGATCAGTTGACGATATGTTGAAGACGAGGGTGCTTTCAGAAAAACATAATATAGTTCATCTATGAACTTATACAAAGCAAATTTTTAAAAACCCATCCATTATGGTAAATATAAAACGAAATGAACACAATTGTAATGATTTGCATTCTATTGTTCTACATATTCTTTACTTAAACCCAGACACGCCCAACATCCTCTGCCCAAATTTGGGGGATACAATCTTTGTAAACAGTATAAAATAGACGTTGTTCATCATGCTCTTTCAATAATCTAATACAAAATTATGTTGATAAAAATTTATAAAATATTATTGATAACATCATGACAGTATGTCCAGTCCATCGGAAACTTTTACAAAATCGGGTAGTTTGTCCATAAAGAGATGAGCAGCATGATTTGATGCCATCACTGTCAGCCGTTCTAGTATGTAACTGTAAGCTGGTCTATCATCAGGATTAGAATTCCAACATGATAACATCAGATGATATCTAGACAAAAAAAACATAATGAGAAGCCATGATATTTCTTGCCATTATTTATAGTATAAGTTAAAATAGCTAAGTCTCTAACTCAATATCATCTAAAGTCTTTGACATTGAAAACACAAATTGTTTATCAATTTAAATCATCAACATTGATGTTGTGATCTTACCGGCAAAAGATGGGCTTCTGATATCCAATATTTAAGACAAAATAAACATGTTACCATTGGTAAACGAATTGTGTACCATAATGCGTTTCAGAGCCATTTGTAAAAAGGGACTCAAAGAACGAAGCTAGACATATTCCACAAGTCATGTCAAATGGCGACATCATACTCATATTTGTAAACTGGATTAACCAGACGCTAGAGATTGCCATTCGATCGAGACTTCTGGCATTTTTCACCGAACATAACTGATTTGAAATTAGAGTAAAAATGGAAACGATTGAATGTAAATCAGTTTATATACATTAATATTACATTATTATATGCGTTGCGTTCCATTTGTGTCAATTTTTAGGTCCCAAATATTACCGATTAAGCTCCTTTAAACAGATACATAGATACACAGACTTTTGTTCGAGGTGATACACGCCTTGAACTGTATTACTTTCGATTCCTGATCTGATGAGTTATACAACATTTCTATTGACGAGGTCGTTGCGGTGATTCAGTGTAAATTGGAGGTCCCTTATTCGATCCCAGTGTTAGTCGAGAAAGTTACTCATGATTTTGAGAGGAGGTTCCCCTCGTCAGTGGTGCAGAAACAGCATCTAGTCATTCGGAAGAGACAAAAAACTGAGTCGTATGTTAAGTTTGACAGACACATCATAATAGATGGTAATAAAATTAAAATTCCACGTCATTGTGCCACTTACAATTCTGGACTCATGTGTGGAGGTCTGGGCATTCTATAACCACTATGAACTTTTTCTAATACTTCTTGTGGTCCCATTCCTGGATATGGTGTCATTCCTACAAGTAGAAGGTTAAACAGTAAAATATTTATGAGAGAGAGAGAGAGAGAGAGAGAGAGAGAGAGAGTTTAACCTCCGACACAAACTAGGTCATTTTTCGGACTAACATATGGTTCTATTTTATTTCAATAATTCACTTGGGTGTAGGGGTCTTTAGCAGTGGGAGGAAAACGCAGGACCCGTGGATAACCTACGAGGTTGGACATTCGACCCTACTTCTTGTCACATACAACCGGGGAATCGAAACCACGCCAGTTGACTCAATGACAGATTTTATGATACAACGTGCACGAGCTACCCCTTCGGCCATCCAACCTGTACTCAGACTGCCAAACGATAAGAAATCGATTTCCTCATGTTTTTTTATTTAAGTCAATAGAAAACAGATGTTATTATCAGGTCATTATAGCAAAAACACATCTTGGAAAAGATATGGAAATGTTAAATGTTATATACGATGATAATTAGGTTGGTGTATCTTGTATTATAAAGATACTTTGTGTGGAATATAATTACTATTTCTTACTAAGTAACATTTCAATTATGGCTGTCCCATCTCAAGCTGTAATAAACACCAGAGAATCATAGTAAAATAATTGAACTACCAAATATCACTGATATAATTTATGAGGTAAAGAGAGAAAATAACGGGGTTTAACGTCTACTCGACACAAACTAGGTCATTTAGGGAATTTTATTTCAATAATTCGCTTGTGCATAAGGGGGTTTTAGCAGTAGAAGGAAACCAGAGAAAACCCACAAGGTTCAACAGGTGACTCTACTCCTTGTCAGGTACAACCAGGGAATCGAAACCATGCCAGTTGACTCAATGACAGACCTTATGATACAGCACACGTGCACACACTAACCATTCGGCCATCTAATCCCCCACTTTTATGAGTAAGAGCCTATAGGTAGCTATATAAAAACAGATACTAGTATATTTACCAAAATGAAATATTTCCCAGAGAACAATACCATATGCCCAGATATCAGTTTGTGTATTGTAGATGTTTTCTACTAATGATTCAGGTGACATCCATCTCGTTGGTGATGAGGCCTGAAATATATCATCAACATTTTTATACATTAATTAATATCAAAATCAACATAAGAAATTAACCTATTTTATTTTTCTACAGTTTTGCATTTCATTTGGATATCATTAACCATTTGGCACAATATTACCTACCCGGTTCGAGCTGACGTGCCATAAAACCACATTTCATTTCATTTCTATTATTAACCAATTCTAATTATAACACGTTTTGCTTATTATATTTCAAATTTCATTTAATTTGTCTTCACTACTGCATTCTGTTTGATGTGAGGAATTAGCCAATCAAAGGATCTGTTTAGTGGAGATTTAAACGAAATTTGAGGGCACAATTGTATCAAAACAAGTTTATTTCCCAAATTGGAATTGTAAGAAATACATGTAATGTTAATAGCAAACATTCATCATATCTTTAAACAACTTTGATAGTATTATAAATCTGCCTATTGAAGGTCTTTTTTTAGGCTTGAAATGTTATCTGAATTACTAATTAGACATTAATTAACTTATTCAGTCATAATCAACTCTCAGCGTCATTGCTAGCCTGCAATATTTAGCGAATTTGAATACATTTTGTGAAGGATGATTAAACGTAAAAATGGATAATCGAGACTTTGTTTTTTATCGTACCGACTTTAGTAATGATGATCAAGACTAGCCTAAAATTCAAAAGCTAATATCTCAGTTCAGAGTGGAGCAATTTTACTGAAATTTGCAGCATATTCTATTTATGTTATCTATTTTTCAACTATTATAGTGGGAACTGTCAACTCTTTATCTAATCTCCCATAATATATCTTTCATTCAATAATCACAGTTATATATCTCAATAATAATAATATTATTACTTACGGGTTCATATTGATTACGTTCTGTTATATCTTGGGGAAAACCAAAACCAGATAATTTACATATTCCACCTTTAGCACAAAGTATACTGGCTGTCTTTAAACGATAATACACCAGCTATAAAAACAAAATATGAATGAATGAATAACGAATTTGTATAGCGCCTCTCATCTAGAACTGTTCTACTCGATAGCGCTGAGCTGCACTGTCACATTTGGTATTCACAGTTAAATAAGTGAGTCTTCAAGGATGATTTAAAGGACTTTAAAGTTCTGGATTCCTTTAATGTTGCTGGGAGTTTATTCCATCGGATGGTGCTGCCGCTGAAAATGCCCTATTTTCAGTCTTAATCATATAATAACACGGGATAGTAAAAGAGAGAGAGAGAAATGGGGTTTAACGTCCACTCGACACAAACTAGGTCATTTCGGGACTAACATATGGTTTAAATTTTTTTTTTTTTTCAATAATTCGCCTGCGCGTAGGGGTCTTTAGCAGTGGGAGGAAACTCGAGGACCCGTAGGAAAACCCGTGAGGTTGGACAGGAGACCCTGCTCCTTGTCACGTACAACCGGGGAATCGAAACCATGACAGTTGACTCTATGACAGAACTTATGATACATTGCGCACGTGCTAACCATACCTAGTATAACAGTCTGGCTATAACATCAATATTATAGTATAACCTGTTCTAGTTATTGGGGTTTTGTTTTTTTTCCTGAAAAATGAATTCTAAATAACTTACTTTAAATTTGGTTAAATGAGTGAGACCGCTAACTGTCTGGGCTGATAAAGCCAATAATTTATGAGCAGATAAAGATTGAGATCGAAGACGAACTCCCTCGTTTTCGCCACGTTTAATAACAACATGGTGTCCAGGTCTAAACTGTTGTAGGAATTCTTGTAATGAACCTTCACTAGCAAGCTCTAACATCATTAACCATGGTTCTGGAAAAATAAACAAATCAATATTTTTACAGGAAAGAATTCAATCTATTAAGTATTAGTCAATCATGAGAAATAGGGTTTAACGTCCACTCGACACAAACTAGATCATTTCGGGACTAACACATGGTTGAATTTTATATCAATAATTTGCTTGCGCGTAGGGGGTCTTTAGCAGTGGGAGGGCCCAGAGAAAACCTACGAGGTTGGACAGGCAACCCTACTCCTTGTCACGTACAACTGGGGAATCGAAACCACACCAGTTGACTCAATGACAGACCTTGTGATACAACACGCTAACCATTCGGCCATCCAACCCCACTTAGTCAATCATATAAGCTTGGATTACTGTCCTCATCTGTGTCTTCAATCAGAATGAGCATCTGAATTCAATGGAATTTTAACAATACTCCATCTTCCAAAGAGAGAGAGAGAGAGAGAGAGAGAGAGAGAGAGAGAGAGTTCAATGTTCACTGGATACAAAACAGGTCATTTCGGGTTTAACATATGGAAGCCGATTTATATAAGCCTTTGGCTTGTTTTGGTATCCTGTGAATAAAATATTGTTTAAAAAAAACATATGTTAGTACTTACCATTAGCTGTATAACTACCAGCTAGTCTGATAACATTAGTATGAGTTTTAATCATCTTTAATACTTCTAACTCCGACAGGAAAAATCTCTTCTCTTTTTCACTCGCTTCAGCTGTAACAACAGACGATATATTTTAAACAATAATTCTAAAATGAAGATAGTCAAGCAGTTTACTAGGTTGCAAACCCAGCGTGCGCTGAGAAGAAACTTTAAAGAATTTTCAAGATCAATTACTGAAATGAAATGGAGTTTAATGGCATATCAAGCTCCTACCGGGCTATATTGCACCGGACTTATGTTGCTGACCAGGGACATAAACCAAAATCCATGTCTGTACCATTATATATATATATATATATATAAAAGAAATTTTTGACAAATGGAATGCAAAGATGATAAAGAGTAAACGCCAATGTTCCTTACATTGAAACCGTTATGTCAAATATCAGAAATCTTGAATGTGTTGGAGCCAAGGTGGCTAAGTGGGTAAGACACTGGCCCGCAAGTCTGGAGGTCACATGTTTGATCTCACTGCATTGGTCGAGAAAGTTCATACGGATTTTCCGGCGTGGTTTCCCTTTGTCAGTGATGCAGGACGGAGGGCCTAACAAGAAGAGCTATCTAGTCGATCTGATGGGACAAAAAACAGAGGGCCTGTGTATGCATTGGTGTGCACTTAAAATTCCCTTGACAGTTGGAATTCAATACAAGAGTAGTACCGCTGCCCGGGCAAAATTTCCCTCATAGCACACTGTATGGCATATGCCCATCTTCATTAGCCCACTAGGAGCATAACTATAAGTTTGAGAATGCTTTGTGAACTCAGGGGGCCAGATTGTGATCCTCAAAGATTCCTAGACATGAACCGCTTAACATCCTGAAGATATTTCTCTCGCAGACATCATAAATTATGGATTACTTACAATTAAGTTTTTTGATGCAGACACGAACGATTTCATTACTGCTTGGTGTTTTTCTCATTCGTCCTTTCCATATTTCAACATACGATCCTTTACCAATCTGTTCTACCAGTCTAATATCACGTCTCGGTATTTCCCAACTCATTCGTAATTTACTATATTCTGATGGCTATAAATATTAATATATAATTCCTGGTTTAATACTTTAAACAAATTTGACAATATGGATGGTAGGCAGGGTTGCTAGACAATATGGATGGTAGGCAGGGTTGCTAGACAATATGGATGGTAGGCAGGGTTGCTAACTTATGGGCTTTGATTGAAGGTTTAATTCCAGTTGTTAATTTGTTTTGTAATCTGATCTTAATTTAGAATATAAATATTTTAACTCTTATATCATTGATGAGTTTTCTAGCTTTCTGTGCTGCCTTAAAGATAGATTAAAAAGAGAGAGAGAGAGAGAGAGAGAGAGAGAGAGAGAGGTTTAAGGTCCACTTGACACAAATTAGGTTCGGACTAAGAAAGGAAAGAAAGACAAACCTACAGCAGATGAGTTATCCGTGCAGTCCATAAAGGTTGATGTGTTGCGATTCTTTAACAAGTGACTTACATGTTTACAAGACAGTAAAAAGTGATCAAGGGTGACAACCCATGCAGTAATTATCGAAGCATAATGTATATAAAATCTTATGATAACTCTGACAAATTCCAACATTTATTAAGCATCCAAACAGATTTTCAATGTGTTCAAAGTCGTATATAAATTAATTTAAACTAAATCATTTTTGATACCATTTGCTTACTAATACAAAATGAAAGTAAAATACATGTTGAAAACAATACCGGTTTCTTTAACACAACCATTTTAATTCATTTAAAATGTCTGATAACTCTGACATACATTTGGCAGAGTTCATATTTAAGCAATTGAAATATAAAGCAGAACATGCTTGCTTTCCTCGACTACTCACTTTCCAGTATGAAAGTTGGCAAAATAAAAATAGAATCTAACTAAAACTCAATGACTTTAAATTAAACTTTTAAAAAAAAACCAGAGCCCAATTTTGGAAAACATTGGTTTATACACATATAGCATGACACTACAACAAGTAAAATATTCTCTTCCCATTTCCAATCATCATACACTCTGATTAAAACACAGATCCTATTTTGTTTCGTTTTTTATAGTTCAAAATATCGTTTTAATTGTCTTTACTACACACTGGAAGAGTTGTTATATAACCCGCGTTCTGGTTGATGCGAGGGATTAGCCAATGAGAAGGTCTGTTTCAGCGAGTTCTTGGTGTGCGATGCACGGAACTGTGGGTATCCTACTAGAAACATCAACGCTGATTGGTTAATCAAATGTCTGATGACATTGGGTCAAAAGCCGATTGAATGACCCCTGACGCGACCTCCCATTACAACTGGTCAGATCTCCATGTAGTGTAGGCCATAGAAAGTATCAAAAAAACTAAAATGAAATATAGATCTGTATTTTAATCAGAATGTGAATTATTTGTCAAAATGATAAGAGAATATTTGTCGAAACGTCGTGCTATATGTGTATAAACTAGTGATTGTTTTCATATAAATTGTGTCGTGTTTTTTTTTTATCATGCTCAATCGCTAAATGCCACTCAAGGTTTAAATGTGAAATATTCATACAGTTAACTTCTTCAATCTTGCTATTTTACCACCATTATTTTGCACACATTTGAAACAAACTAGGTCATTTCGGGACTAACATATGGTTTAATTTTATTTCAATAATTCGCCTGCGTCTAGGGGTCTTTAGCAGTGGGAGGAAGCAGGAAGACCCGGAGAAAACCCATGAGGTTGGACAGGCGACCCTAATCCTTGTCACGTACACCCGGGGATTCGAAACCACACCAGTTAACTCAATGACAGGCCTTATACTACAGCGCGCACATGCTAACCATTCGGCCATCCAACTCCCCCTCTTTTAAAAAGAAGGTGAGATATTATCCAGTTACAGTTGGTAGTATGCATATTTTGCTACGTAGGATAAATTAACTAGAACAGTATGAAGATATCAAAACAAATATTTCACATTTAATCAAAATATAAACGTCAAAGTCCATAAGCTTTTAGATGTAATTAGTAACTGGATAGAGCAATACAAAAAAACACATACTTATGATGAAAAAAACAGCTGATAATTTATTTGGGCGACGTTTCGAAGAGTATTAGCTTGATAACATTGAGATAATACTCTTCAAAATGTCGCCTAATTAAATAAGTAGCTGGGTTTTTTTTTGATAATTATGTGTTTTTGTGTATGACAGATCATGCACACAGACACCCACCCTATAGTCAGACTGTAGCTGAACACTCTCATCCAATAGTTCAACTTCTTGATCATCCAGTGTTTCATCGTGCGACCGCGCCATCTTCTCACGCATTTTATGCTCTTTTTTCTGTAAACATGGAGAATTAAGATTTGGCTAGAATCAATGAAAGAACCATATACCAGGTGGGGTTCAAACTTTCATAATACTTGGTTGTTCAAACTAGAAACGGACAATTATAATACTTAACTTTCTCTTTTCTATACGACCTACATGTGGCTAAAGGTGAAAAACAAAATAAGAAAGTTGTTGAACGATATCAAAAATAGGATGAGGTGCCGTTGATTTACAAAGATGGACATTCCCTCTCATAATATCACAGCCAGTATAATAATTTGATAATTAAGCATGGTTGAATCTATTTTAAAACTAGATAATTAATATAATATCTGCAGCATCATAAAGGCCCTAGAAAAATTGGAAATCTAAGCTTTCAAAATTTATCAAATAATAGCAGATGACAAAATGCTAAATTGTTTATATACGTCTAAAAGCAATTACTCTTTAGATAATCAAAATATAAAAAGCACTTTTAACAGCCAGTATATTGATTCATTCTATTCTTTAAAAAAATAAATTAAAATATTGCGATATAAATTACGCTAAAGAAGGAATAGTAAAGAAAAGTGGCCAATGCGGCGAAAAAACTTTTCTAATTTTTGTAAGCAGCTTCCTTAGTTTTGAACAACCAAGAAGAAAGCACTGGAATAATAATAAGGATTGGTTATATAATATGATATGATAAAGCACAAGCTAAAGGACAGTCGTATTGTCATACCCTGATATTACCAGTAGTTGTTATATAGTTAGGTTGTTTTTTGTGTTTTATTTGCTCATATAGCTATAAATATAACGAAAAAAATAAAATATCAATTGTGTATCTTAAAATCTGGGTAACATTTAACATAATAAACTTAAAATTAATTTATTTTGGTAACAAGAAAAAGTTTGAAGGGTAGTGTTGCTTTCCTTTAGACTAAAGGGGCAGAACTCTTGATGTACTAACCTTCATTCTCATGGCAATAACCACAAATATAATGATTAATAATACAGCTAAACCAGCACTGACTAATGCTCCGATAGCATATGGAGAAACTGCAAGAGAAATATAAAATTTTACTATATTTATTGTTTTAAGACTTGCATATCATTAAATACATAAAATAGTTTCACATATCTATCAAATGGATTGTGCTACACTACATATAAAACTGACCCTATATAACTTGAAAATAACCCATAGTTAGTTACATGTGGTATGTCTCGAACATCATTTATTTTAGGCCTCACTCCCACAGCAGTTGTGGATTGTACCATAACTATTTAAGTTCTAAATTCTAAAGACCAATAGAATTTCAACTTTTTATATAACTATTGATCAGAATGTGAAAAATCAAAAACAGAACAATAAACATGTGGGGTATATAATACTAGACGTGCAATAAATCCCCTCCCCACACCCTATCTCTTTCTCTCTCCATCTTCTGTTTTTAAATAGCTAATATTTAATCATCTACAAACCCTACTAAAACAAAGAGAGAGAGAGAGGTTGAAAGTCCACTTGACACAAACTAGGTCATTTTTATTTTAATAATTTGTTTGCACATAGGGGTCTTCAGCAGTGGGAGGAAACCGGAGGACTCGGAGAAAACCCACAAGGTTGTACAGGCGAAACTACTCGAAACCACGCTAGCTGACTTCATGACACACCTTGTGATACAATGCACATGCACTAAACATTCGACCATCCAACCGGCCCCCTACAAAAACACTTAATTTTTTGCTACTAAAATACATGATTTAGAGACGCTGAGGTACTTTTCTATTATTAGTTCAGTTTACAATCTACATAGAATCAATCTATTATTACCAGTAATTACCATGTTAGTGCGATAAAAACAACTGGGAATGAAATCAGATATTTCCAAAGAAACAGTTCTCAGAAATAGATCCATTAAATCAAATTAAAATCTGAAACATGTTTTTTGCTCTATAAGGCCATTGTCATGTGTCTAATACTACTTTATCCTCTTAAAAAAAACCATTGTTATGTGTCCGATACTTCATTAAAAAAAATCAAAAAAAAATCAATAAAACGTGAATTGTTTCTAGAACACAATAAAAAAACAATTGGTCATGCAGTAGACTGGAATAACAAAAAAAAGTGTGCAGTAGTAAATAGGCTACAACATCTACATTCACAATATATGGAGAGATCTATTCATACATTTTAAATAGTTTTTATTTGTTAAAAACAAAAGACATATTGCTTGAAAATTGATTGGTCTTTAAACCACTGTTTTAACACGCAAGAGATGGATAGAGAAAATGCTAGAGAAAGGCAGCTTCAGTCCGATTTTCACAAAATTCGAACTCAACTGTCATTTTTTTAGATCGGACAATCAGGGGCCGTAATCCATGACGTTACAGTCCAATACATGTCAATATGGAAAGGAACAAAGATTTTTGGGAGATAGACCTACCTATATTTCAAGTTCCATCAAAATTGGATAAAAATTGTGACTGTATAGTGTCCACAAACAAATTGTGGACGGACGGATGTCTGGACAAACGGACGGATGTCTGGACGTACAGGTGGACAGGGGCAATGGGATAATATGTCCACATGAAAATGTGAGTGTATAAAAATAGGGTCACATTTATGAGGTTTTCAAAAAAGATCTCTTCATATAAACGTAGCAACTTAAACACATAGAAAAATAGAGTGCACACTTACAAATAGAGAGGTATTTAAAAGAGGCTTCCACAAAGTCGAGAGATTTGGAAGAATCTGAAATTAAGATACATAAAGTGCAACAGAATATTCAAAACCAAAAATATAACGTTGAGGACAAAAAACAAAAGTCTAAACAAAAGATAAATAAAAATAATGTAAAATAAAAAAGACAATAAAAATTGGAAGCCTTTTTAAAGTTCAATAAATATCGATTTACATCCCTGTCCATGCACATTTAACAAAACAATATGAAATAAATTTAAAATTGAAATCAATGAACAAAACATAAAATTAAAACTTAAAGGAGCTAAATCTCTAATATTTGGGATCTAGAAATTGACACAAATGGATCACAAGGCATATAATAATGTAATATGAATGTATGTAAACTGATTTACATTCAATCGTTTCTGTTTTCGACATTGAAAACACAAATTATTTGTCAATTTAAATCAACACTGTTGCTGTGATCTTACCGGGAAAAGATGGGCTTCTGATATCCAATATTTAAGATAAAATAACCATTTTACCATGCGTTTCAGTGTCATTTGTAACAAGGGACTCAAAGAATGAGGCTAGACATATTCCACAAGTCATATCAAATGGTGACGCCATATTCTTATCTGGAGAGCATGTCCATTAAATACTATCACTATCGGTGTAGACTGGAATAACTAGATGCTAGAGATTGCAATTCGATTGTGACTTTTGGCGTATTTCGCTGAACATAACTGATTAGAAATTACAGAAACGATTGAATGTAAGTCAGTTTATATACATTAATATTACAATATTATATGCGTTGGGACCCATTTGTGTTAATTTCTAGGTCCCAAATATTAGTGATTTCGCTACTTTAAGACATTGCGTAATAAATTAAACAAGTTAAGTATTATAAATAATCAACCCCTGATTTAGAATTCAAAAGTAAGCCGTTAGTTTTTATCTACTGTAGCCTAGCATCAGGTGTTCTGGAGGAAGTACTTATATACTTGTTTTCTTACAATGTCTCATTCATTAAAATCTATATAAACTGAGATTGTTTTCAAGATTCTCATAAACATCACAGTTTTGGTAAAACAAAAATGTTTTCCAGTTGATGGATTTATATGAAGAAAACTGAATGTTACATGGTCTATAGTAAAAATTTCCTGTTATTTTTAAATTAAAGAATTCAGCATGTATGTTTTTGAATACTAGGTTTATGAAAAGCATAGAGTTAATAAAACATCATAAATGCTGTTTAGAAAGTAGGACAATCTATAAAATGGTACACGTCTATTTGTGTCTTTTTCCATATCAGAAAAGCAAAAGCAACAAGAACACTGCTGGTTGTGAAAATGTCGTTTGATGAAATGACGGTCATTTATTTAATAACGAAATTAGGATGAAAAAGTGAAATTCCAAAATTAATGAAACATAGTAAAACATTATGGAAAATAAAACTGAATGAGTGTTGGGCTTAACAAAACAATCATGAAATGGCTGAATATAATACTGTTGAATTACATTATAGTGGCAATACAAAATAACAATATAATGGGCAATACGTGGTATTCATTTCTCTTCCAGGCTGTATTCTACTCTTATCAAATCGTGCTATTATTCTGGAAATGTGGGTTAACAGATTTCAACAATAGAAAATTTTCATAACGATAAACAAACAAATGAAATGCATTTTGGGGATAAAATGTTCTAAATTGTATTTATTTGTAAATGAATCAATGAAATATCATTCTGAAGTCATTTTAGCTTTGTTATTTCCACACTTTTTTACCCCTCCACCCCAATATTCAAAGACGATAATCCCATTTTGTATAAGATCTTTTGGAATATAAATAGGGAAATTATCATTGTGATAGAAAACAAGTAATAAAGACTTAATAGGGAAATTATCATTGTGATAGAAAACGAGTATGAATAAAAACTTACTTTTATTGAATATACTGTTGTTAGGTGCTTGGCTAGTAGCATCTATTGATGGTTGAACACCTTGGCTGTTTCTATGGATAGTATATGGTACCTCTTGACCTCCGGAATTAGGTATTTTAGTTGTAGCTTTCCTTTCTAAAAACATAATTTTATTTCTATATTTATTTCTACAATATGACCATACAAGTTAAATCAACCACATATATCTCAAAAATATATCATCAGTAAATGCAGATCTATATTTCGTTTCGTCTTTTTATACTTTCGATGGTCTCCACTACATGAATATCTGACCGGTTATAGTGGAAGGTCGCATTTGAGGTCATACGAGTGGCTTTTGACCCTATGACATCAGACATTGATTAATCAATCAGTGTTGACGTTTCTAGTGGATTACCCACAGTTCCGTGTACAGTACACCAAGAACTCGACATAACAAAGCGTTTCATTGGCTAATCACTAACACCACCCAGAACACTGGTTATATAACAACTCTTCCCGATCCTAGTGTAGTAAATACAAGCAAAACAAAATTTTGAACTATAAAAAAAAGAAACGAAATAGGATCTGTGTGATAACCAGTGTTTACAGTATCTAAATATTTGTAACATCTTTATTAACACACTAATCATTAAAGATACATTATGGGAGATTAGATAAAGAGCTGGCAGTTCTCACTATAATAGTTAAAAAACTAGATAATGTAAAGGGAATATGCTGAAAATCGCTGTCAAATTGACCCACTCTGAACCGAGACATTAGCGTTCGAATTTTAAACCTAGCCTTGATCAGTATTACTAAAGTCTCGATTATCCAATTTTAGATTAAATCAAATCCAGTGAAAATCTGACACATAAGATGGCATCGAGAGTTAATTATGGTCTGGATAAGTTAATTAATGTCTAATTAATAATTTAGAGAACATTTCAGGCCTAAAGAAAGACCTGCAATAGGCAGATGTAGCTCTTACATAATGCATGTTTAATCATCAATTAAAAAACATACTGGGTAGGGTACATGATGGTGGTTATTGAGAAATAATATGTTGTAATGGCGCCTAAGTGAGAGTAGTAGGTGCAAAAGGCAGCACCAAATTAATGGACTTTCGGTCACACTTCTAATTTATTCATTAAATTTAATGAATGTTAATATTACAATGAAATTAATTTGTCACAGATGTCATTATGCCAATGATCATGTAATGGCTGAATGATATTCCACTGTGTTCAGTTTGATTGTGTATGATACAGTATACATTATCAAGGCAAGGAGAGAAGTCATATAAGCTATGCCTGATTCTCAATCCCTTTCAATTTCTGAATAAAATATTAATTTAAAAAACCCCAGAAAAACAGTGTGCATGATTTAAGTAAATGTGGTCCACTGTGTATTAAATTAACAAACAGCAAAACATCATATGGTATAAGTTAGCTATAAGAACAATCTGATATTAATACATCTGCGGGTCATGAAGTGGTATCAGGATGTTCCTGATTAAAAAAAGATTATACTCTGCAGCTAACCATACACCACCACACTTATAATACTCCTCGCAGCATTTCGTTTGATTAGACCTAATCCCACTCATATTATAATCAACACTAATTTCGGTCCCAAATTATATGACTGGTTAACAGTCCAATCAACAACCAGTACATAACGACCTAACAAAATCAATCACGATTAACCACAGCTCTAAATATGTTACCGTAAAGTGTCTGGTGACAAACACGGTTAAGTCATAAAAATTCCCTATATTTTACTCATGAAATCCTTATACAGCATTTAGTAACTGAACATATGATATACAACACAAATTTATATGGAAAACAATCAGTGAGTTTATTTCACACTACGTTTCAACAAGTTCCTCTTGTCGTTAATTACTTGAGAACGACAAGAGGAACTTGTTGAAACATAGTGTGAAATAAACCCAGTGATTGTTTTCCATATAAATTTGTGTTTTATACCATATTTTACTCATGAGAGATTTGATTGGACAATGAGAATAGACATGCTCCATCAAAGACTCAAGTTTTCAGTCTCAATACAGCAATGGCTAAAGAGGGATTTCTTGCGGCCATTGCTTCGGGAATAAGAAGTTGTTGTGAATGATTTTAAAAGTTCGATGAAATACTTACTTATTACAGTAATATTAATATCCCGATGATCTTGATAAACCACGCCATCTATATCATTATCAACTGAGCATCTATATAATCCCGCATGTCTCTCTTCAAAACTAGAGATATCATAATATGATGAACTCGACATCAGTCGACTGGCTGTGGGATTCGTGAACGGTGTGAAGGTCCATGAAAAATGAGGGAGAGGATACCCTCTAGCTAAGCAAGTCAGATGGACTTTTGAGCCTTCATTGTAAGCAAGTTTACCTCTTTTCGGACTCACGGTTAAGTCTGTAATGGCTGCAGGAACTGAAAAATGAAACAAGTCATTTTAATTAATCAAATAAACAAATCATGTATGTCATGTACACAACAATCTGATTACAACACAGATCCTATTTTGTTTCATTTTTTTATAGTTTAAAATTTCGTTTACTTGTCTTTACTACACTAGGATCTGGAAGAGAGTTGTTATAAAACCCACGTTCTGGATGATGTGAGGGATTAGCCAATGAAATGATCTGTCACAGTGATGCATGAACTGTGGGTACTACTACTACTAGAAACATCAATGCTAAATAGTTAATCAAAAGTCTGACGTCATAGGGTCAAAAGCCGCTCGTACGACCCCTGATGCGACATTCCACTACAACCGGTCAGATCTTCATGTAGTAGAGGCCATCGAAAGTATAAAAAAACGTAACGGAATATAGATCTGTATTTTAATCCGATTGTGTACACATTTGGCTGGTACACCTCCAAAGAATTCTTGTGATCTAATAAGGGCTTTGCCAAATAAATTGATCGTATGAATATTTGTTGTTAAAAGTTAATTTATCTAAATAATCAAATCATTATGATAACACCAGTAATTTGATAAAATGTAAAATTTTATAAGATTTTCAACAATTGTAATATATCACAATACTGCATGTATATCTAGTTATAACACTCCATCTGTATTGTGCACATACCGTAACCAGTCAAAAAATGTCCATTTAAAGGGCACAGCTACATAGAGTTGCTCATAAAAATGGTTGGGCGCATGACAATATACAACCATAGTATGAACAAAATTATCAAATCACCCTCTCCCCTACCCAAAATTATTTTTCCATGTAAATGTGTACATCACAGGCAAAGGTCTGTGTTGATTATATGTAAGTAAATAATAAATTTTTCTAAAGTCTAAAAATATGGCAAATTCAACAAAATATAAGTACAATTCTTCATGTAAGATCATCAAATCCTCCAAAGGTGACATAAAAACATCACACCCGAAGGAAAAGAAGGGCGGAAGAGACCCTATAACAGTGAACTATAGGGATTAATAATCCACAACATTACGCGCATGCACAATAATTCTATTGTATACATGTATATATACCCGGTAATAGGATTATTTTTATAACCAGTTGATAAAGGGCAAACGCCCGAAATGTGTCCTGGATAAATTTTTTTAATCTTCATACAGTCTTGTCAAGTTTGTTGCCTGGGAATTTTTATTATGATTTTATCATCAAATCCTCTTACGATAATTACTGAGTCAATCTGCTGATCATCAAATCCTAAAATATCCAAAAAGTGACGAAAAAAACCCAGCAGATGAAGGACACATCACCCGAAACATGTACTGGATTAAATTTTTGATCTTCACACTGTCTTACGATAATTATTGAGTCAATCTGTCGATAGTTTTTAGAACTGTATACTGGGATACTTACCATAAACTTTTAAAGGAGGCATAGCTTGACATTGTATATTTATTAACCTAGCGTAAGTAGTTATACAGTTATATATATGTCCATTCATATTAACTCCCGCTGTTATATTTAACGTAGCCGTCATACTCGTTGAATTATGCATCTCTGTAGTTGTGTTCCTCTTTTCTCGACCAAGTTGCCAATAAATAGTCGGTGCTTTATTTCCAGCAAACTGAACATGGCAATCAAAAGTGGCTATATGACCATAACGAAGTTCTGGGTATTGATTATGGCATGTTGGTCTCTCTGGAAAAAGAAAAGATTTTATGTAACTTAAGGATAAATAGATATCAGATTCACAAATCAAATCGGTTTGATATTACCTAAAGGGGGAGCCATGGTGGCTAAGTGGGTAAGATGCTGACTCGCTATTACCTAAAGGGGGAGCCACAGTGTCTAAGTGGTAGCCTTGAGGTCACATGTTTGATCCCTACATTGGGCGAGAAAGTTCAGTATTTTACTGTTGGTTTTTGTCTCACTACATTAGGCTGACTGTAATTATATACTTTATAAAGTATTAAAATATTACGAACATTCTTTACCTACATGTAGTTCCAGTCATTATATAGAGAGAGAGAGAAATGGGGTTTAACGTCCAATCGACACAAACTAGGTCATTTCGGGACTAACATATGGTATAACTTTATTTCAATAATTTGCTTGCGCGTAGGGGTCTTTAGCAGTTGGAGGAAACCGGAGGACCCGGAGAAAACCCACGAGGTTGGACAGGCGACCCTACTCCTTGCCACGTACAACCGGGGATTCGAAACCACGCCAGTCGACTCAATGACAGACTTTATGATACAGCGCGCGCACGCTAACCATTCAGCCATCCAACCCCCCTCCAGTCATTATATAATACTGTACTTACATGTATTTATGTACAGAATAAGGACCACCCCCCCTCCCCCGAAAATGTTGGAAACATCTAACAGAACCAGCTATTTCCACAACCAATTTTGTAAGAAAATGTACTTCGCACCATCCAATTTAATTTTTTTTACCTAGGCCGCTCATACCAATACAGAAATTTACACAAAAAACAAGATAATCTAGCCTTAACAACATCATAAAAACAGAACTTGATAAGTACCAGCAATGTGATAACTGACAATTATCTTTTCAAAACATTATAATTCTGTTTTCAGTGAACAATATATGGTCAGCTATGTTATCACTGCAGGTTGTGGCATATGTTTTTTTTTTACGTGTTTTGCCTAATATTGACGGGGGGGGGGGGGGGGGGGGGAGGTAGTGGATGGCCGAATGGTTAGTGCGTGTGCGATGTATCATAAGGTCTGTCATTGAGTCAATTGGTTTGGTTTCGATTCCACAGTTGTCTGTGACAAGGAGTAGGGTCGTCTGTCTAACCTACAGCTAAAGAACCCTATGCGCAAGCAAATTATTGAAATAAAATTCAACCATATGTTAGTCCCAAAATAACCTAGTTTGAGTCAAGTGGAGGTTAAACCTCTCTCTCTCTCTTTCTTTGTTTTAGTAGGGTTTGTAGATGATTAAATATTAGCTATTTAAAAACATAAGGTGGAGAGAGATAGAGATAGGGTGTGGGGAGGGGGTTCAATATTTATTTGAGTCTCTCTCTCTCTCTCTCTCTCTCTCTCTCTTCCTCTCCCTCCCTCCCTCTATTATAATAACCTTATTACTTGAATAATAATACATGCAACAAGCTGTTATCTATAACTAGCACCAATCATTAAATTTACATTTACAATCTTCATGCAGGACATGATAATAAAATACAAATTGTATTCTGTATCAGCACTGTTCGCCAGAATCAATAACTATTGTTCATTTTATGTGGTTGTGCCGATTAGATTTTAAATTCAATGTTTCAAATGAAACGCCCACAGCAGCTAAGTCGTCCAGGCAGTCAACAAGAGTTGTCGCTTATTTCTTCTTTTGTTCGTAATGAGACATTTACATGTACAATACACTAAAATCTGATTAAGAGTAACAACTCAGTAGAATTTGTTTGGCTTCTAGTTCTGGCCCATGCTAATATTTAGGAAACAAAACATTTAATATCATGGATTTAGCTGTTCAAGTTATCAAAAATCATTGAAAATCAATACACTTTTCGAAGTAATCAAGGGCCATTTTAAACTTGGCAGTAATTATCGTAAATCCTTGAAAATCAATAGAAGTCTTCGTCTCATGACCTTAAAGATGAGACCTTAAACACAGTGTATAAATTTAAATCAATCGAATGATAACTTAAAGCGTCCACAAGATTTTTCAAAGTGATCAAGAACCATACACTTTTTCGACTCCTGACCTTAAACACTATGTATAAATTTAAAGTCAGTAGAATATTCACTTTAGCCTCTAAAGCATCTACAAGATCAAGGGCCATAACTCTGGCACTAACTATTGGAAATCGCTGAAAATCAATAGGCCTCTTCGTCTCATGACCTTAAACACTGTGTATAAATTTAAAGTCAATGGTATATTCACTTTAGCCTCTAAAGCATCTACAAGAATTTTGAAAGTGATCAAGGGCCATAACTCTGGCAGTAACTATCAGAAATTGTTGAAAATCAATAGGCTTCTTCATCTCATGACCTTAAACACTGTGTATCAAGGGCCATAACTCTGGCAGTAACTATCAGAAATTGTTAAAAATCAATAGGCTTCTTCATCTCATGACCTTAAACACAGTGTATCAATTTAAAGACAATCAGATATCAATGGGAGCGACAACAATACATGAACACATTTCAAAACGAGCGTATATATACATGGAAGAAAGATCGACGGCAGCTAATAAATGACCGTTATTATTTATCAAAATAGATAAAATTAAAGAATCCCCGCCAAACAGAACCAGCAACAGACTTGTAGATTTATATAAATCCAACGTTTCGGGCGCAATACCCTTTTCTTGAAAAAGGGATCAAAAAATGATGCCGGCGGGGCAGAGTAGTAGAATAGATAAAATTAAAGAATCCCCGCCAAACAGAACCAGCAACAGACTTGTAGATTTAAAAGATCTTTATATCAATCCAATGTTTCGGGTGCAATACCCTTTTCTTTAATTTTATCTATTCTACTACTCTGCCCCGCTGGCATCATTTTTTGACCCAGATCCTAAGCAGATGTACCAGCCTGTCCAGCTTTTCTACTTATTTAAGGGAGTGTTGCCGTACCCCTCCTCGTTTTCCAATTTATCAAAATACTTACCAAGTACATATAATTCTGCTGACATAACTTCATTTGTAAGATTTGTAGAACACGAATACAATCCAGCATCTTCTGGTCTTGTATCTGGTATACTTAATCGGGTGGCTTTGTCTTCTGGATAACGAATAGGATTACTCGATTCACGATTATATGTTCCATCGAAATATCGAGTCCACTTGACTATTTCTGTGTGATTTGATGCACCAACGGGTCTATAGGTCCAAGTCAATTTATATGGTACAGTTGCTGGTATTGTTCTAAAGGTTGTATTTTGAGACAGGGAACAACGAAACACTGTATTTTCACCAGTTAATTTTGCTTTGTCTGTTGGTCCTAATAGAAATACTTCTGATAAACTTGAAACTGAAATAAAAGAACAAGAAAAATTATTCTTTGATCATACATTGGTCTATTATGTAAGTAGACAGAAATGTTGCGACTGGGCTAACGAGAGGGAGGGAGGGAGGGAGAGAGAGAGAGATGGGGTTTAACGTCCACTTAACACAAACTAGGCCATTTTGGGAATAATATATGGTTCAATTTTATTTCAATAATTCGCTTGCGTGCAGGGGTCTTTAGCAGTGGGTGGAAGCCGGAGGACCCGGAGAAAACTCACGAGGTTGGACAGCCGACCCTACTCCTTGTCATGCCAGTTGACTCAATGACAGACCTAATGATACAGCATGCACATGTGCTAAACATTCGGCCATCCAACCTCCCCTTTCAGTGATAAATATCTCAGCAGTTTTACACTAGAATTATGCATCTCTTTAATTTCCATTAGCTTACTAGAATAGTGCCTCTAGCTGTAATCTAAAAAAAAAACAGTTTTAAAAATTCAAACTCTGATCAAACAAACGCTTTAAACAAAACAAAAGCTTGAAACGTGAATTAGTACATCAAAGCAACCGCAAACTATTTAATTCAATAGACCATCTGGTGGTGAAACAAGGTTATCCATCATAAGATCATCTTTCCTTTATTCCTATAAATCCGTTTGAAAATGATGGGAGCTGACATCATATAAAACCATTATACTACATGTACATCAATTTAATCTCCCAATTATCATGTGTTCACCAAATACAATCAATATATTTTCCAGTGTTTCAATATTATATACTAAATTGTGAAATTAAAAAACATTGGACACCCTTTGTTGTATAAATTGATGCTATTCTTAGCGCAATAATATATTATCAGTAATTAAAATATACTGTTAGCAGCTGGCTTACGTGCACATTATATTGCACCGTTGTCAATAAAACATACGACCAACATCATTCCCATTGTGTGCTTTTCAATAATATGTTGTGATCTTTCTCTCCATTCCAATTTCCTAAATTTACACATGTAACTCAATCCGATTAAAACACAGATCCTATTTCGTTTCATTTTTTTATAGTTCAAAATTTCGTTTTACTTGTCTTTACTACACTAGGATCTGGGAGAGTTGTTATATAACCCAAGTTCACAAGGCATTCTCAGACTTAAGTTAAGAATTTACTCAACTTTCAGTCAATATCTTTGATCCAGAAACAAAACACTTTGCACATAGTTTCTTATTGGTGTATTTAATACATTAAAACAACAAAAGTTTTATAAAGGGTTATATTTTAGTTAAAATAAGGCAACCATTTTGAGTAAATTCTTAACGTAAGTCTGAGAATCTTTCTGAACTCGAGGCCTTGATGATGAGAGGGAACAGCCAATGAAACGGTCTGTTACGGCGAGTTTTTGGTGTGCGGTTCACGGAACTGTTGGTAACCCATTAGAAACATCAATCCTGACTGGTTAATCAAATGTCTATCGTCATAGGGTCAAAAGTAACTTGAATCGGTCAGATCTTCATGTAGTGTAGGCCATCGAAAGTATTAAAAAAATCTGTATTTTAATCTGATTGCATGTAACATAATTAATATTTACTTTGTAAACCAGTCTCCAGACTTTCAAAACACAGATCAGAAAAATTGAATTACAGTTTATTTTCTCAGACTAGGAGCAATATAATAAGTGGTAAACACTTGCTAAAAAAAAAGAAGCTACATTCTATTACTAGTTATATCTTTTTATTATTAGGGGTGTTGTTATGCCAAAAGCCAAAAATGAAATGAAATGAGGTTAATGGCCTTTCTTGTTTTGATTTTACTACAATGCAAAGTCTTCAGGTTTACCTGTTATTAGAATTTCTTTGTTTTTAGATGGTCATGTCGCCATATTTCATTTGCCTGTTATACTCTATCATTTCCACGCAGGGGGAGGTCGGGGGGATGGTTAGTGTGTGCATGTTGAATCATAAGGTCTGTCATTGAGTCAACTGGTGTGGTTTCGATTCCCTGGTTGTACGTGACAAGGAGTAGGGTTGCCTGTTCAACCTTGTGGGTGTCCTCCGGGTCCTTCGGTTTCCTCCCACTGCTAAAGACCCCTACGCACAAGCGAATTATTGAAATAAAATTGAACCACGCGTTAGTCCAGAAATGACATGGTTTGTGTCGAGTGGACGTTAAACCCCCATTTCTCTCTTTCTCTCCACGCATTTGTCAGTTGATAATCAAGTTTCTTGACTGCATGGAGCCAGTATTTATGTTGAGCGTAACGACCAGTATATTTTCTAATTAAATACACTTGTTATAGGGATTTTCAAAAACTTCACAACTCTAAAAATAACTTGACCTACAATCAATGATCAATAGCCAATCAGATGCATATTGCAGGACCTATGAAATTAAGACAATATCATCAGTTCCTGGGAATGACTAACAAAAATCTGAGCTGTTTTGAGTGGCTCCGGGTAGCAAAGACATAATTAGGCAGTGCTCATTCCAACCACATTTTTTTAACAAAACATTTGACCACACCTACATGTATAATGCTAAGTTACTGATGGACATCAGAATGATTTAATTAAACATGCATATTGCAAGCGCTAAATCTGGGACGTTCTGAGTGGCTTCGGAGAGTATAACTAAGCAGTGCTTTGACCACACCTACATGTATAATACTGTGTTACTGATTGGACATCAGGTTGATTTAATTGTACATGCATTATGAAATCTGAGCTGTTTTGAGTGGCTTCAGGTAGCAGTGCTCACTCCAACATTTGACCACACCCACATGTATAATGCAGCGTTACAGATCAGACATCAGGTTATTTTAGTTAAATAACAGTATTGTATTGATCTGTTTAATACAAATACATCAAAGTCACATGACTCATCTTATCAACTACTACTTCAAGATTCTAGATCACACCCATACTCACATGCATTTTAAACAAGGTAATGGAACTGATAATTTTATGTGGTTCTAAATATCATCATGTAAGTTCATAAGGGTAACAATTATATCCAAGACAACAACGAACCGCTTCTCACTAATGTGTTAATAGTGGGTGGAAAGAATCCCTGGAACTGGGCGGGTGGGCGTGGATCTCAGTGATACGCTGGGAGCAGAGAGGAAAACAGAATCCTCCAAAAAAGATTAAGAAAAGTAATCCCCCAGCAACACACCAATGAGACTGCTACGGAATATATAAAGATATATTGCAGGACGTGTTTCGGGCGGAGTAGTCTTTTATCAACTGGATTATGAAAAATAATCTTTACAAATTCTTTCATAACAATTGATGCATATTGCCATTGGGACAGATCTAGACAGACACAAACACACATATTTCTGCATGCTTTTTCCTACTACTAATATAAACATTCTCCCTGGTTTTCCTATACAAAAAAAACTGTACATGTCTATTTGTTCATATCTTATATACATGTATATAAGCTTAAATAATATTTGCTAAAATTGTTTTTATTTATCAATCTCTAAAAAACTTCAAAATTAAACCCCTTTGGCAAATGACTATATACTTGGCAATTTAAAATGAAACAATATTATTTTTAAAAATTGATCGATGTCTTTTCGTTTGAATTTCTGCATAAAAATACGATTATCTATCAACACTCTTACATGTGTTAAAACTTCAACACATGTAATAAAATACCAAAATAGCTAAAGGGCACAAATTACAGTTTTAAAATATGACATACATCAAATTGTTATGGCTTTCTTGTTCAATATTCTACACTGTATATGATTATTGATTTAGAATTTAACACTGACTGAACCCAGAATAAACTGAGCTACTAAATATAAGCAACAGGTAACAGATATTAGTTAATACTTAATTATTTGTTAATTATTTAAATTGTGAGTTTGTTTGTGATTTCTGCGTAATATGTCTTGTCCGTATATTTGTTTTTGTGTAAATTATGTGTGGTGCAGTCCCCCTGCACTTACTAATATATTAATCTATAGAAATTGATAGGGTTCATCCTCTCATTACTAAACTAAACCTTGTGGGTTTTCTCCGGGTCCTCCGGTTTCCTCCCACCGCTAAAGACCCCTACGCCGAAGCGAATTATTGAAATAAAACTGAACCATATGTTAGTCCCAAAATGACCCAGTTTGTGTCAAGTGGATGTTAAACCCCATTTCCCTCTCTGATTAAACAAAATTGGAAGAAAATTGATTCAAAACTGTCATCTCCAGTGTGTTAACAAAGTTTTTTCGGGAAAGTGGGGTGGGGGGTAACTCAAGAATGTCAGGTCGCAGAATGGTAACTATCGATGGGATCTTCCCATCATGACCACAAAACATGACCACAATTTTTGCCAGACCAACATAGAATTTTGATGGTAAAACCCTCCTTATAACTGGTTGTTGTCAGGCCCGTAGCCAGAGGGGGGCAAGGGGGGGCTATGCCTCCCCCGAAAAAATGTTTTGCCCCCCCCCCCCCCCCGAAAAAAAAAATTGCCGACCATAGCTCTAAAATACCTACTGTAGACTGTGCCAGGTGTGCCCCCCCCCCCCCCTAAAAACTCCACTGCCCCTCCGAAGCTAGCAAGCTGGCTACGGGCCTGGTTGTTGTACTGATCTATCTGATTAAAACACAGATCCTATTTCGTTTGATAAATCAAAACGTAACAATTTCTAATCAAATATATCAGTCTCTACAGTCGATTAGTTGGTAATACATCAACTAAGATACGTTATCATATTTAGGGGGTTCCGTTTATTTGAATAAAGCTCAAGTAAACACTGTATTCGCATGTATATACAATTTATAGCACCAAGTTACAATATATAGCACCATATTACAATTTATAGCACTAAATTACAATCTATAGCACCAAATTACAATTTATAGCACCAAATTACAATCTATAGCACCAAATTACAATTTATAGCAGAAAGTTACAATTTATAATATACATTTGTAGCACAAAGTTACATTCTATAGCACAAAGTTACCAATCTATAGCACCAAGTTACAATTTAAAGCATCAAATTACAATTCATAGCAC